TAAAAACACTGCAAAATAAAGTGTTTCAGTGAGACCGAGCAGTCTCTGGGATTCCTCCTGCATAACAATTTATAATTCCGTGAAAGCACATTTAAACATAGAGTAGTAAACTCTTTTTATAGACACGGAATGTCTCGTGCTCATGTGGTAGAAGAGGGAGACGAGGGAAGGAGGAAGAGAGAGTGAACCGGGAGGTCAGAAGGGAGTTGGTTGGCTGGATGCAGAAGGAGGCGTCAGAGGAACACAGAATTCAAATTCCCCTTCTTTCAGCCAGCGGTCCACTTGAGAGCAGCTGTAAGGGCTGCCGCCTTCCTTTTTCTAGACAGTGCATTCCCAGGGCCTCTCAGGAAGATCCTTCCCTACACAGGTTACCTCACTGTGCTCTTTCCTGTTTGTCAATGTCCATCTTGAAAGGTGACAACCAAAATCAAATCCGACTGCCTCTCACTCCCAGGCTCGTCCGTGTGGGGTACACTCAGACTACTCCAGACTAATACCGTTCCCCAAACTCTGAGACTCGCCAGTGGGCGGCCTTGCCATTTTTCTTCATTTTTTGTCACAGAGGCGTTCCAGCTTGATAGTTCTCCTGTTTTAGATGTTTTCCTCCTTCCTCCTCATATTTTAGTTTAAAATATTTTCAGGTCAGCGAGATTCTTCCTGATCTCTCAAGATTTGTATTGTCTTTTGCCACCAGTCCATTATTCTGGTGTGGAGGATCAAGTCATTATCTTTGACTGTTTAGGTGGCTAAATTATTAGCTTGTAGTATCATCTTTTGCCTTCTGAATCTTTAAATGCTAAAAATATGAAAGGAGTAGGACGCCGGCCCCATATGCTGGAGGTGGCAGGTTCAAACCCAGCCCCAGTGCCCTCCCCCCAAATGCTAAAAACAAAAACAACACAAAAAACCCTACTTGAAATTCTAAATCTTTTCACTTTTCCTGTATGGGTCTTTGATGTTATGGAGGATACTTGCTAGGTGGTTTTTTGTTTTTTTTTCCTAGTTTCTGTGACCATTCACAGGTTATGGTGGTAGTGAATCAGGAGATTTGGAAATGACCTCAGCTCCAGGAAGGCAAGCAGTATCGTGCTTTTGAACATCACTCCTCTCTACCCTGACACTTAGGTATCTCTCCTGGAGGAAGCTGTGTCCTGTTCTCTTCCTGGTGCTTATAAAGAATCCCATAGCAGTGAGGAGCTCTTCCTTCTTTGGCAGGTCCTCATATACCCCAAGAGGTGGGCATCCTTCCTTGTTACCCAGGACTGTGCAGCTGTTTCTTCTCTCTTTCCAACTTTGGTGTTGCTGATTTCTCTCCATCCAGTCAGGTTCTTTCTGTTCTTTTGAGCTGTCATCTGACCTTGAACTCTCTGCCCGCTTATGAGCTGTAGCATAGAGTGATTTCTCCCATTGCCTCAACTTTTCCACCAATGAGAATATCAACTCCTATTTATGAGTCACATAATGGATGCCAGCTTCAAAGAAAGACGCTACCTTAGCCTAGACCTTGCAGAAGACAAGAAACAGTTTTGTCACTAGGGCATTGTGTAAACTGGGAGGGAAAATAAGTAACAGTGCCCTCTCTGGGCATAGGAAGTGCACACGTTCTTCCTCAGGTGGATGAATTTGAAAAATATCCCTCTTCCAGGGTGAGGAAGGCTGGGGGGCTTGAAGGGAGGTTGGATATTAGCCTCATCCTTCCAGATGTAGGATACACCTGCTTGCAGCAGCTTGAGTTGCCATATCATCTGGGTTTTGTTTGTTTTTCAGAAAGACCCGTAGACATGGTGACTGCCTCTTGCATCACAGTTTTCAAATTTTTGGTCTAGTGGTTCTAAGAAATACACCCTCTATACGAGTTACTGCTGGTTTGGTTCTTTCTTTCTTCTTTTTTTTTTTAACAACTCAACTGAGGTATAATTTACATACTTAGTTGAGCTATAATTGACATACCATACCATTCATCTCCCACCATTCAGAATGCAGCTTGAGGTTTTTTAATAAACTTAACACCTCCCATGAATATCATGGCAGTCTAGTTCTAGGATATTTTATATCATCCCCTCCCCCCAAAAGTTCTCTTAAGCCTATTATGTTTCCACTCCTATCCCCAGCCCTAGGGGTTCACTTACCTATTTTCTATCTCTGTAGATTTGTCTTTTCTGGAATCTCTTATACATGAGATTGTTATCTTCCTTTTTCTTCTCTCGTCTGCTCCTTGCAGTAGCTGGGTGTCAGCCTTGTTCCCTTCTACTGCCGCAGGCCTGACCTGATCTCTTCCTTTCTGCTTTGGGGTTCAAGCACGTTCTTCTGTCTCCTACCTTAAAACATTCTCCTGTCCAGCATTCCCTCCAGCCACCACCCTATTTCTCTGAGCCACTTCTGAGTCCAGCCTCTCAGGTTTGACTTTAAGCATTCTCTCCACTGTCTTCTGTCTTGTGAACTCTCCTTTTGGTGGGGTTTATTTTTTGTCTTTTACATATCGTATTTAATACGGTATAATTTAATTATACTAATACATACATAATTAATATTATATTTAATTATAATATTTAAGAGAAAAAATATTTACTATTATATTTAGTATAAAATACATTTATTATGAATACATGAACATTAAAAAGAACATATAATGTGGATAGCAAGCTTTAAAGCATAGTGGTATAATGAATATCTACAGCCACCATCTACCCCTTCCACCAGCATTTCAAACAGTGCAACCCAGGACTCAAAATGTCTCACGGCTCTTCCTCATCTCTACAACTACTTTTGGTCCTCTTTGGTCATTTTTAAGCAAGGAGTTCCATTTTTAAACAAGGAGTCTGAGCTAAATTGACTTTGAAATCTATTACATTGCTACAATTCTCTGATTACTATTGAGAGATTAATTTTCAGTTTAGAAGCTATTATAGAAGATTTATAGCTTGCATTGTTGAGTATTGCCATAATTTATTTTATTATGAAACCTTGGCAAAGAGTATGACATGCAATTATAACATCATTTCTCTAGGAAATTTATTCTACTTAGGTTATTTGCTTCAGATTATTTTCTCTACATTTTTGAAGTTGAAAGCTAAACTTGCTGTCATGTTGTTCCCCTCCTTTAAACTTTGGATAGAATTCATTTAATCAGTGTAACCAGTCCACTTATTCCCAGGGGAGCCATGGATGTCAATTGTTATTTCAGTTGAATACTGTTACGACTTAAATTTTTAATAAGTGTAAGACTTGACACTTAGGGAGAAGCTGTTTACAGTTCTCAAAACCAGCCTTGTTTTTCTTTGATTCTACCTGATATTTAGCTTTCCTGTTACAATGTAGATTGGAAATGGATTGGTAGAGATGTGGAAAACACTTCCCTCTCACTCCTGCCCCCAGGCATAAAGTGTCATATAGAATACTAATTAGTGATGGATATTTAAAATATTTGTAATTACATGTGTCACCTATTTTTATTGAGCAGTCATTACATTTTTGGAAGCTTAAAATGCTTTCATATTCCTTTCTGTTGTGTGCTGATGTCATTTAAATAGTTAATACTTTAAAAGCAGACACTAGTTTTCCTTGGACCCTTATTTTATTTCATTAATACATTCTAGCAAATATGGTGACTTTTCAGTGAGTTACAAGCAGACCAGAAGTGGTTGACCGTTTTCCTATGGAGCTGGGTGTAGGCCTGACAGGAAAACCACAGGAAAATGATTTTTTCTTTTACCTGACAGGATGGGCCCAGGAGAGAGTGGAGCTTCGCTTAAATGCTCTGTGTTGGTAGGAAAGATGCCTGGCACCAAGTGCGTTCCAGAGCACAAGTCATCCCTGGGCTCAGGAAATTCTCCTACGTAGGCGGCCCTGTGGCTCCAGCACACGTGCAGCTTAAGTTTCCCTTTGGTCTGAGACTTTCTGGTTATTAATACCTTTCTTTATTAATCTCTTCTGTTGTCACACATACATATGACTTCATACATTTTATCTGGAAAATGACTTCTTCTTCTGGCTTTAGATTCTGTACACCTAAATCTATTTGATCAAAGACTTTTGCTTTTTCTCCTACCAAACATTAAAAAGAAACAAGCACATTTTGTGTTTAATTGGGTGAGTGCAGATCTACTGACTCCACAAATGTTCTGCACAAGAAGGAATGGTTGTCTCAGGAACCTGTGAAATGTCTCACAGTTGTGCATATTTTGAAATACACCCTCCTGATAGGGGAAGCTCCAGATTTCCAGTCTGACTCATCTTGGTACACTTAGAACTTTAACTAGTTCTCTCTAATACTCATTTACAATACAAATTACCTTACAAAAGCCTTTTTGAACTTCAGTCTCCTTTTCCAATTATCACAAAGTCTGAACTAACAGGATTCATTTCACTCAGGTTTAATTTGATATTTGTCTCGCACCTTAATCATCATTGCATTTCGTAAAAATGAGAAGAAAAATTAGCCTGACTTCTTTGTCATATGGCTTTAGAAGGGATTTTATGAGAATCATAACTGCTATAGATAAAGGATAAAAAACAATTCTTTATAAAGGACAGAATGTAATTAAGATCAGCATTAGTAGTCGAAGATAGGTTTCCGTTTTACACATTAGCTCTCTTCTATTAAACATGACGTAATCAGCCTGAAATACTTAACAGTATTTTTAGTTTTCTTAGTTTTCTTAACAGTTTTTTTAGTTGTAGAAGAAAAAAATAATGTTTTAAATTAAAAAAAAAAAAAGTTGGAGCTCTTACACTTTAACATGGTCTGAATTTTTGTACACCTGAAAGGGATTTCTTATGTCTGTGATGCTTTTTGTTGTCATTATGACAGATGCGTCAATTATATGCGATTTTGTAACATAGGTCATTTTATTTCTGTGTTGCATTTTTCTGATTAAAACTATAAATTCTTCAAGATGAACACAGAGGACAGCGTCAGCCGTCTCTCTCACAGCCATCTGCAGTAGTCAGGCAAAACTGATGTTTTGTGTGAGTAAGAATGTCTGCATTTCATTTCGCAGGTGGGGAGCATTAAGCGGGAAATGACCTTCACGTTTCAATCAGAGGACTTAAAACGTGACTCTAGCAGAAAAATGTCTCAACAACATTTGTTCTCCTTGGCCATGGAGGAAGACGTGAAAACAGCAGACACCAAAAAAGCCAACCGGGTCCTTGACCATGAAAAAGAAAACACTCGTTCCATCTGTCTCCTTGAGCAAAAAAGAAAAGTTGTTTCTTCCAACATTGATGTCCCTCCAGCAAGGTAAGGGAATGTGAGATCTCCTACGTTTCTGCCCCTGGAAGTTGGTGGAGAGCGTGCACCATCTCCCCAGTATGTAGACTCTCTTCCGTATGTGGATTTATGAAAGGTTTTCTGCCAAGAATTTTTTTTCTGTTTCTGGTGTGAAATAGAGCAGGTGGCTTTATTCTTCAGAACTGACTTTGAGGCTTCTGTAGTTGGAACCATTGCAGCTCTAGAAAAGAATATTTTATTAGATTTTACTAAATGAATAATAAAAAGCAAAAGAGTAAATGCAGGGTGGCGCCTGTGGCTCAAGGAGTAGGGCGCCAGTCCCATATAGCAGGGGTGGCGGGTTCAAACCTGGCCCCAGCAAAAAAAAAAAAGAGTAAATGCAAAAAAAAAAAAAAATAAAATAAAATAGAATGAAACATGAAATGCAGGACTGAGCATAGCCGCTTCAAAGCAAATATACTCAGGTCTTTTGGTCAGACGTTGGCAAACTATGATTGTTGGCCACACTCAGCCCCTGGCCTGTTTTGTGTGAGATAAGAATGGTCTTAGGTGAAGAATTGATGACCCAGACCATAGGTGGCCTTCAAAGCCTGTAATATGTAAAAATGTTTGTTGAGCCCTGACTTATATCATGGTAATTCTTTTAAAACAGATCCAGCCTACTTGAAATATCAAAAGACATTTATCATTTTATAATCCTATGTAACCCACATCCAATGGCACTGAACCAAAGGCCGTACTGTAGCAGAATGACAGTGGGACAGTAGTGGGATAAACACAGTAGACCAGTTTCTCACTTTTGTACTCATCGCTTGTCTCACCTGGAAAGTAAGCTTTACCTTGGCGGGGATTTCAGTCCACTCTGTACACACTTCACCTCTAGCCCTTTTCTCAATTATGTTCTGCGGACTCAATAGGGTATTAGTCAGATGAAGGAAAGAAAGGAAATGTCTTAGCATGAAAGATTGCTTATTTTTAATTTGTGTGCCATATTTTGTTGCCAAAAATCGTTTATAATGAAACTTTATAAGCAATTGTTTAAGAATTCCTGCATTTGTTCAAGTGGTTTCTGGTCTCAACCAAGGAAACCAGTACTTTTGGACAAGGAATGAGTGTGCCTTTCCCACCTGCTCACTGTCTGTAATTAGAGTTGTATTTCTTTATCTATTAAGTCAAAAGTATCTTCTTTAAGCATCATTTTATCCTGCCACCAAATTTGTCAGACTGTCTAGAATTATAGACCTCTTTGTTTTTCTTAACCTTTAATGGGAGATTTTCATAAGCAAACTTCTGATTACTTGGAATTACTTGCTTTCCTTTTTTTTTTTTTTCGTATGAAGTACAGTTCAAATTATTTAGGATTAGCTCCTTCTACCGTGGCTTGATTGTGAAATGTTTTAAAACATCTTGAACCTGGCAGGCACCTCGATTCATATCTGTTATTTGGTTGACGCATAGGAAAAATGGCATATTAACAATTCGAAATGTGTAGAGCTCTATTTTTTTACTTCATTCCTAAGCCCATCGGACAAAAAGCAGACTTTCAGTGTCAGATAGTTTAGCACCAACTTGCAATTCCATAGGACTTACTCTATGTAAAATTTTCGTTAGGATCATTGTATATGTTAAAAAACCTGCAATTATTTCAAATTGCATAGATTATTTTAGGTATGCCTTTGTTCTTTAATGTCACTCTACTTGCAATATTTCTGGAGAAAACACTGAAAGGGGAGGGAGAAAAATATTTCCTTCTTTTTCTGGCTGTGGAATGTGGGATATTTCCCACCTTTTCAAATTCACTGAATGTATTTAAAAGTATGAGTCAAGTCAGTGTTATTGAAAGATTCTTAAACAGTGTGGGGAAATTAATTAAGTTTTAAATTCATTAATGTACAGCAAAATTCCCCAATGACAAGGTATAATTTAGATGTATTAACTTACTATGGGAAATACTACTTAAAACTTTAGTGGTTGAGTTATTCACTGATATACTTGTTTTCGTTGCTAAAATAAGAATTTAATCATCATAAAATACAGTATTCCAGTAGTTGGTGAAATAAATTTTTAAAAAACCATGAAGGAAGGAGACATTGGAGATTATAATGATCAACTCTCGAACTCTTTCTGCTCTATTTCTGTTTACTGTTACCATATTTAATAAATGTCAACTTTCTATTATCATCTAAAGAGATTGATATGATATTTTGTTTTAAAGAATTCTTTACCTGATATGGTAGGGAGATACAGGATTTTCCTTTTGTTTACTAAGGAGAAATATATCTATTGGCAATATAATATATTATATGTTGGCAATATAATATATTATTTCTGTTGTTTACTAAGGAGAAATATATCTATTGGTACTCTGTAAGGAGGTTTGAGGAACTCTACAGTATAGTGAAATTTACTGGTATAAGGAAGCCTATTATAGTCATCCCTCTGTGTCCACATGTTCTGTTCTTGTGAATTCAAACCACAGATTGAAAATATTTGGGGGAAAAAATCATCTATACTGAATATATAGAGACCTTTCTTATTATTCCCTAAATACTATAATATAACAACTATTTACATAGTATTTATGTTATATTAGGTATTATAAGTAATCTAGAACCGATTTAAAATATACCAGAGGGCTGGGCACAGAGCAAGACCCCATCTCTATAAACCAATAATAATAATATGTTAAAAAAAAATAAAGTATGCTGGAGGATGTTTATAGGTTGTATGCAAATACTATGCCACTTTACATGGGAGTCCTGAGACCAGTCCCCATGGATACCAAGGGGCACCTGCACCTACATCTTATAAAATATACATATATATATTAAATTTGTGTATGTATTTAAAGTCTGTATGCATATTTGTATCCACATGATTATTGCAACTTACTCTCCTATAGCCAGATGTTATTTTCGGCTGATTCCTGGGGAGGCAGGATCACCAGTTTAGGCCACTTGAGTGCAGAGTTCTTCAACAGTTTAAGATCAGTTCCCTGTAATGTTTCTTGCTTTGTCTTTTGCTTGTTCCCACTGTAACTAAGATTTTGGTTGAACTTTCCTTTTTATGGTCTGTAAAATAAATCTGAAGTTTATTTTCTGTGGTTTGTATATTGTATTTGCTTTTTCATGTCTCTAGAGAGGTCTGTGACCCTCTCCCCACCGTAACCTCTATACTCACTGTGGCGTAGCAGCACTGATTTCATCTCTTGCCTCCATTCAATAGAAGGGTATTGAGTACCTGCCGTGAATTCAGTGCTCAGTAAAAAAAGTAAATAAATAATGAATGAGACAGGGTGTCAGCCCTCCAGAAGCTTGCAGTGGAATCAGGAAGACAGATACATAAGGAGCTAATTTCATAGAACAGTTCCTAATTTGCTCCTTTCTCATTAGGACTAGATGAATTTGTAATTTGTGAGGAGAATCTTTTCATATTAGGAAAGTGATTAATTTGACACATCTATCTAAAAGCCTAATTTTCTTGTGTCTTTTTCAATTTAGGAATGAATGGAACAGAGTAGGGGGAGCTCTGTGGCTGAGATCTACCACACACAATCCTTGTTTATTTACCTGTTTTCTGAGAACCCATTTAAAAGTTGCTAGTTTCTGCTCGGCGCCTGTGGCTCAGGTGGCTAAGGCGCCAGCCACATACACCTAAGGTGGTGAGTTCGAATCCAGCCTGGGCCTGCCAAAACTACAATGACAGCTGCAACCAAAAAATGGCTGGCGTTGTGGTGGGCGCCTGTGGTCCCAGCTACTGAGGAGGCTGAGGCAGGAGACTCGCTTGAGCCCAGGAGTTGGAGGTTGCTGTGAGCTGTGATGCCACAGCACTCGACCCAAGGGGATAGCTTGAGGCTCTGTCTCCAAAAAAAAAAAAAAAAGTTGCTAGTTTCAGGAAAATGGAAATTTAAATTATGAATCCAGATGTCTAATCAGGCTGGGTCATCCAGGAAACAAATGCCGAGGTAAAATTAAACACGCAAGCTTTTTATTAGGAGAAACAAGTGTGAGAGAAAGGAGGCAGTGAGAAGCCAGGGCAGGTGGGAGAGGCAAGTCAGACTGGGTGCTAGAAGGAGCCCATTGACGGGAAAGGGGGGCAGTTTTTCTGCCCTTTGCAGCCTGGGCTATCTGTGTAGACCACCTGGAATCTTCATTTAAAACAAAAAATCTGTAAACTTCCTGTGAAAACGTGGCAACAGATTGTTGCTCTCAAGATCCCAAGATTATTTTTTTGAGTCATGGGAGGAAAGAGCACAAACTCTCTCCTGAGTTGCCATGGGTTGGTAGGGACAAAAGTTGTTTTTTACTTCAGATTCATATGAGGGTATAGATGGTTGGGTTACAGTGTCTGCATTTGTTAGGTAACATCCGCACTGTAGTTGTGTGCCATATACCCTGACATTGTTTCCATTAGTTGGGAACTCACTGATCTCTAGGGACAAATCTTAATGTCGGAGAGTCCATTTACCCAGGGGATATTGCTTATTTGATTTTGAGAAGAAACACTTGTTTCTTTTCTGAGGACCCAAGGGATATTGCTTATTTGATTTCAAGAAGAAACACTTGTTTCTTTTCTGAGGACGATTTGGGGTTGCATTATACAGTTGAGGTACTCAAAATAGTCTTCAAATTATTCAACATTCTTCAGTAGGGAAAACTAAAGAGAGAGAGTGTGTGAGAGAGCACAAGCAAGCCATGTTCGTCTTTGCCAAATACTATCTCATTCCATGGACTAAAGATCAGTCATTGACAGAAAGGAATGGGGAGCAGAGATCCTTAAAGTTGGGGGTATCAAGTGCTAGAGGTCTCAGTGCTAACAGTGAGGACAATAGTCCCTCCAAGACTCTCTCTGAATATTTCATCATATTAACGTAGTCATGCTTGGTTATAAAAGGCAAAACACAACCTCCTCCAAAAGAGATTGTAGATTAAGAATGAGGACTTGCTGGTTATAAATATTCAGTTTTAAGTACTTTTGACTACCTCTAGGAAGAAAAAATACTAGCTTCC